AAGATACCTATCGAATTTCTAGAGTGAAGGGATTGTTGAGGCGAGGACACCATCCGTACGCTGGATATACATTGGAGCCTCGCGGAGGATGAATTTCAATTTCATTTAAATTTTGAACTCTCAGCAGGCTTACCGACGATGCGATCAATTTTGTCAACAGTTGCGAGGTTATTCGATCCTATGGGATGACATAGTGCCAGCAGCCGTTAGAAGAGAATGGGAAATGTTTTTAACGGAGCTGCCCAATATTTCAGAGATACGCATACCACGATAAATTACATGGGGATTACATAACGCAGCAGCAGATCTATATATATTTAGCCTATGGAGTGGCTGCATATTTATGTGTCCCAACCGGAGATTACGCATTTCACACGGAGTTGCTGCTGTCAAAAAAAAAGGTCTCGCCTGTTAAGCCGCAATCAACCATACCCAGAGTTGAGTTGTGTGCTGGTCTTGAAGCTGCAAAAATATATAAGTATTTGAAACCGAATTTGTGAATTAATATAAATTTCAGCAGCACTATTTTTTGGTCCGACTCAATGATAGCAATCAGCTGTATTTGTTTCAAATTGCATAAACAAAATTCTGCAGATTTCGAATGGAAAACAATGGATACATGTGCCCTTCAATGATAATCCTGCCGACCATCTGAGTCGGGGAATAAGCGTATCTTAGTTAACGTCATGTGTAGCTCTGTGAGTTATGCGGCCAAGTGTCATGGACCGCAGTGGTTGCAAGGGCCGGAAGAAGGATGACCCTGCATTAACATTGATGAACAGTCACTCTCACATGTGAATATTAAGACAAAAATCTTGACTTGTCATAAGATATCATTGGAAAAGATGCCCAGCTCGATGCTCGTTGGTCAATATTCATCGTATACACGACTTCTTCGCGTTATGGTATATGTTAAACATTTCATTTGAAACTGTAGTTTAACCGTAAGCAAACTGAGGTTTCAACAGATGAATTAGAGGAATGCCTCAGAGAAGTAATAAGATGGGTGCAGAAGGACTGTTTTGAAAGGGAATGGAAAGCACTCGCTGCTAGCAAGCCGGTCACAAGAGAAAGCAGCTTATTACCTCTCTTGTACTTGCACTTGCACTTGTGTTATAAAATCAATGTTATCGAATAGCTTTGAAAATGATTTTGAAACTGAGTGGACAGTAAACAAACTACTCTCATACAAACGTTGTCCGTCACCTTACCACTGTTTCGAGTGAAATTTCCCAAATCGCTGAAGCACGTTCATTTTATTCTTATATAGAGCTTTGCAAAAAAAGTTTAGTGCAAATCGGACACAGCTTAAAATTCTCAAAAAATTACTTTAAAATGTACATTCCACCAAAGGAGCTTAGAATTTGCAAAAAATGTGAAACACGTGTCAAATGATTTTTTATGTAGATCATTGCATTTGAATTTTAAGGCAAAAGGCCTCCCACCAAATCTTTGACTCCCATTTCCACCAAGAAGGAATGGATTTTTAAAAAAAGTGTGAAACACCCCTCTAATGAATTTTAGCAATGATCTGTGCAAATAAGTTTGAAGCCGATCCGATGGTTAACAAAAGAGTTTCATACCAAAGTTTTTCGCTAATTAACCACTGTTGTGACAACACGTATTCATTAAGTTCTCATGTGGAGCTTATCGGACACCACGTAAAACTGCGCCCAAAAATCATTGAATCGCATTCTACCGAAGGAGCTTAGATTTTGCGAAATATGTGAAACACGACTGAAATGATTTTTCATATAGAGCTTTGAAAATGAATTTGAGCGCGAAACGCCACCCATCAAATACAAAAGGAATACATTTTTGGAGAAGTGTACAACACCCTTCAAATGAATTTGAAGCAAAGAAGTTTGAAATTGATTTTGAGGCCAGTCGGATGGTAAACAATAAAGTTTCCTACAAACATTTTTCGCGATTTTTATACCCTGAACCCATTAAAAATGGGTATTAGGGTATATTGTATTTGTGCAAAATCCAAATTTATGTAACAGGCAGAAGGAAGCATCTCCGACCCCATAAAGTATATATATTCTTGATCAGCACCAATAGCCGAGTCGATTTAGCGATGTCCGTCTGTCTGTCCGTCTGTCCGTCCGTCCGTCCGTCCGTCCGTCCGTATGTATGAACGAAAGGATCTCAGAACCTATAAGAGCTATAAGAGACACTTGAAATTTAAGATGTAGATGCTCCTAGTTCCCGCGCAGATCGGAAAGATCGCAGATCCGATAATCGATAACTGACTCCGTTTCCAAGCAATCGATAAAAATCCATATCGATATCCGGTTTTTGGGCAATTTTGGTAAATAATAAGAGCTAGAGTCGCCAAAGTTGACATATAGCTTCTAAAATAAAATATATATATGCATTTGATGTTGGAAGAAGAGGGTTCAGGGTATTCCCTAGTCAGGAGCTCCCGACTAGAACCTCTTACTTGTTCCATACTTGCGGGTGGAAATGCCCGAACCCCCGTCTTAACGTGTACCTTTATCATACAGTGAAAATTTCAGCTGTCTAGCTCTTACGATTTGGGCTGTGCGTTGATCACCAATCAGTCAGTCAGGACAAACAGTTTTATATATATATAATAAAACATATTTCACGATTCTTGTCGTAATTTATAGTTATGCTTGTACCTTGCATGGAATCTCATCACTCACGCTCAATTATATAAGAAAGAAATTTTGGATCATCAATTGAGCCCAGTTCGTTTTGGTATACATAAATGTATCACATGTTTTAATGAAGCCTCAGTCTGCAAAGCAACAAATGGAAAATTTGCCAGCGGTGCGTGAGTGGCCCTCAGTAGCTTTCTCATCTGTCGGAGTTGACTATGCTGGACCTATTAATATTTCGCCCTTCAAGAGAAGGAGATGTGTAGCTAAAAAGGAATACATTGCAGTGTTTTTTTGTTTGGTGACTAATGCTATACATTTAGAGCCAATTGAAGACTTAACGTCTAATTCGTTTTAGAAGCCTTGCATCGATTCATAGGTTAATGTGGACAATGTACAGATATTTATAGTGACTGATAGGAAGGCATACTAATCGTATATTTCAGTATTAATCGCGCCAAAATTGCTGGAAAAGGGAATCAGTCGGCATTTTAACCCTACATCAGCTCCACACTTTGGTGGATTATGTGAAAGCCGGAGTTAAGTCCATGAAGTATCATCTCAAGAGAACCATTGGAGAGCGAGTGATAACCTTTGAGAAAATTGCTAGAGTGTGAGCACAAATTGATTCTTGTCTTAATTCAAGGCCTCAATGTCCTATTTCGAATGATCCTGACGATTTGATGGTGTTAACCCCCGGTTACTTTCTACTTGGTGATGGGCTCTTGTTTGCCTCCTACACCTGAAGTACCATAATTGATTTTAATGCATGGTGGAGAAAGTGTCAAAACTATTCAAAACACTTTTGGAAAAGGTGGAACTCTGAATATTTGAGACATTTGCAGAGAAGACCAAAATGGTTACAGATGAAAATATGTTGTTGAATGCATGGTGTTAATAAAGAATGAACGATTTCCTTCGCATCGGTGGCCTTTGGGTCGGATTACAAACACTCATGCTGGTGGATTAGTTAGAGTTGTGACTCTAAAACAAGCAGTGGTGTTTTCAAACGGCTATTAACAAAGCTCTGTCCATTACCCATACAAGAGAATTGGCTTGATAATGACACCTACCCTTTACACAAAAGTTAAATTGTACTTTTCTATTTTCCGTATGAGTTATGGTACCAAGCCCGAGACTCTGCAAGGTGGTTGACGAACATATTATGATGAATGATGCAATCATCAAAAGGGGCAGAATATTTGGGCTACAGCCAAACAGCAATCGGTTGAGTTAAAATTAGTGGCCTTCTCATGTGGCCGAGCTTTAAGTCCTCTTACAAGTTATCTTAATTTCTTGTATTTTTTAATTCTATTGAGCTTTAAATTTTCCCGCTTAGTAATTTTCGCCACATGAAGTCTGTGAGCGTCAGTCCAAGTCAACGGACACATGCTATGTGTAGGTCAGAGTAATAATTATTATATTAAGGCTAAGTTCAATAAAAGTTGAAGTCATTTAAAATAAACAGCCCCGCTCGTGAACTGGGACTCTTTTGCTAATCTCAACATTGCGAACAATCGTGCAAACCACGCCGCAGGACGCATCATGTCTATGGGAAGTTTGGGGCTCCGCACATGGCGCAGCCGATATCCAACAGGAACGTTCGGTCGAAAATTAAGTTCTTCAATGAGACACATTTTTGTTTATCAAAATATCTTGAATGAACTTGGCACTTATTAGTTTTAACTATGCTCCCCATATAAACGCAAAATCCTATTAAGATCGAACCACTATATTATATAGCTGCTATAGGAGCAATTGGTGGAAAGTTAGTTACGTTTATCGAGATATCTTGACCGGACTCGGCAATTAATAGTTTTAGTCCTCATATGTATGCAAAATCCTATTAAGATCGGACCACTATATCATATCAGTAGATGCCATAGAAACGTTCGGTTGAAAGTTAAGCTGTTGTATAAAAAAACAGTTTTTTTAATCGAGATATCTCGACCGAACTTTACTATGCCCTTCATATATATGCAAATCCTATCAACATCGGCCCACTATATCATACAGGATATATCGGTCGAAAATTAAGTTGCTGTATGGAAACTGTTTTGTTATTCAAGATATAATGATAAATTACAGTATTTGGAGATTTCACTACTACTATATCATATGTGCCATAGGAACAATCGGTCGAAAACTAGGTTTTTAATTAAAATTCTTTTTTGTTTATCAAGATATCTTTACCAAATCCGACATTAACTATTTGTTCTGTGCTTGTATATCATGAATTTTAAGTAACTTTATATTCTATCCTGAATATAATATTTTTATGTATAAATTTATATTTATTTATTTATATTTATAACATCTTTCGATTGAAAAACCAAGAAATATTCTTGACTTTTTTTCTTTTTTATTTTTTAGTATCGGTTGGAGGTGTAATTGGACTCTTCATTGGTGGATCTTTGCTTAACATTTTGGAAGTGCTATCATTCCTTTTTCATAAAATAAACAGCTATTGTAACAACTAATTTAACTGTATAAAATGTAGCGGCTTGCAAATATATTGGTATATAAAGAGAAACTAAAACTATTAAACACGTGTGCATTAAAATGTTTTGGAAAACAATGCTGAATGAATTGAAGGACTTTTGTAACTATAACTATATGATTGTGGACGACTATATTAATTCAAAATGAGCGTAGTATTAGTTTTCGTTTGTTTACATTCCTTAATTGTACAAATGTAGTACGCGTCTTATAAGTCTTCCCAGCCTTCCAAGCCAATCTACAAAGCACCCAAGAACTTCTTGCACTGGAGATTGGGACACGTTAAGTTTATAATTTATGCAAATAATGTAGAGACACGGCAAGGAGCCGTTAGATTTACAGTTGTATGGTTTTGCTAGCTTATAAGTATTATTAGTGAGTAATGCAGAAAGCTGTTTCCAATATCGGTAGGATATAAGTTCTGTTGAACATATTGTACTAGAATAAAAATGTAGTTAATTAAGGCAAAAAGGCCACGTAGTCATCAAGGGCATAGATTAGGTTTTCTTATTAACACTAATTTCGGGCAATATCTGCTAGGCTCGTTCACACGAGGAATGAATGCGTGGAATGAAATGAAAATATTAGCTGTATCCAAAGCACAAATCGGAAGAAAAGAAACATAATGATCGTTCGAAAAGTACAGCACGAAATACCATCTCAGCACCTCTCGAGATGGCATCACCCAAGCCTCCACAAAGCAAGCCAGCATAAACAATCAACATTGTGTGGGCGGCACTAAATAAGACACCCTTTATTTGACAAAAAGTGCCTAAACATCATTGTAGCACTACATCATCCCAAAAACGCAACACCAGCAATAGACAGGATGTTTATGTTGCGACACATAGACACGTAGACATACTTCTGTTAATAAAGAATAATCTAGTTTGGCTTGAACTTTAACACAAAGCGGTTTTCTTTCGCATTATTAAATTCTTAACTTTATAAATAACTTAAACTGCAGAAACCTCTTCAAAATCAGAGGTCACGCTACAAGGCACTTAGGAAGTCACATTTAACCCTGCACAAGGTTCTCCTTTGTATCATTATCTTGTAAGTTAAAGAAAATTCTGTAAAAGGAAAAAGCGGCTATGATGGAACGAATGTGTTTTAAAGAAATATTTTCGCCAAAGGATACAAAAAATATACATAAACGAGAAAGAAGGGCTATCTTCGGCACGCCAAAGATCTAATACCCTTGCAGACCCAACCTTTTCATAATGCTCATAGTGCTTTGCCCCTATCTAAGAAGTACCGGGAAAATAGTAAATGCCGGTACTTCTACAAACTACAAACTACAAACTACAAACTACAACTACAAACTACAAACTACAAACTACAAACTACAAACTACAAACTACAAACTACAAACTACAAACTACAAACTACAAACTACAAACTACAAACTACAAACTACAAACTACAAACTACAAACTACAAACTACAAACTACAAACTACAAACTACAAACTACAAACTACAAACTACAAACTACAAACTACAAACTACAAACTACAAACTACAAACTACAAACTACAAACTACAAACTACAAACTACAAACTACAAACTACAAACTACAAACTACAAACTACAAACTACAAACTACAAACTACAAACTACAAACTACAAACTACAAACTACAAACTACAAACTACAAACTACAAACTACAAACTACAAACTACAAACTACAAACTACAAACTACAAACTACAAACTACAAACTACAAACTACAAACTACAAACTACAAACTACAAACTACAAACTACAAACTACAAACTACAAACTAAGTACAAACTACAAACTACAAACTACAAGCTACAAACTACAAACTACAAACTACAAACTACAAACTACAAACTACAAACTACAAACTACAAACTACAAACTACAATTTTGGATTTTGCATATATATAAGGAGCTTAGTAAAACTAATAAATGCCGAGTTTGGTCAAGATATCTTGAAAAACAAAATGTTTTTTCATACAAAAACTTAATTTTCGACCGATCGTTCCTATGGCAGCTATATGATATAGAGGTCCGATCTTTATAGGATTTCGCACATATATGAGGAGTAAAGTAAAACTAATAAATGCCGAGTTTGGTTAAGATATCTTGATAAACAAAATGATTTTTCATACAACTTAATTTTCGACCGATCGTTCCTATGGCAGCTATATGATATAGTGGTTCGATCTTAATAGGATTTTGCATATATATGAGGAGCATAGTAAAACTAATAACTGCCGAGTTTGGTCAACATATCTTGAAAAACAAAATGTTTTTTCATACAAAAACTTAATTTTCGACCGATCGTTCCTATGGCAGCTATATGATATAGAGGTCCGATCTTTATAGGATTTCGCACATATATGAGGAGTAAAGTAAAACTAATAAATGCCGAGTTTGGTTAAGATATCTTGATAAACAAAATGTTTTTTCATACAACTTAATTTTCGACCGATCGTTCCTATGGCAGCTATATGATATAGTGGTTCGATCTTAATAGGATTTTGCATATATATGAGGAGCATAGTAAAACTAATAACTGCCGAGTTTGGTCAACATATCTTGAAAAACAAAATGTTTTTTCATACAAAAACTTAATTTTCGACCGATCATTCCTATGGCAGCTGTATGATATAGTGGTCCGATATTAATAGGATTTTGCATATATATGAGGAGTAAAGTAAAACTAATAAATGCCGATTTTCGTCAAGATAGCTTGAAAAACAAAATGTTTTTCATACAAACACTTAATTTTCGACCGATCGTTCCTATGGGAGCTATATGATATAGTGTTCCGATCCAGCTGGATTTCACATATGTGCTGCGTGCATCAGAAAGAGGGAGTTTTGCAAAGTTTCATAAAGACAGCTTTAAAACTGAGGGACTAGTTCGCAGAGAAACAGACAGACGGACATGGCTATATCGACTCGGCTGTTGATGCTGATTAAGAATATATATACTTTATGGGGTCGGAGATGTCTCTTTCTATGCGTTACACATTTTACGACATAATCATAATACCCTCTGCAAGGGTATAAAAAGGGGAAACAAAAAGAAATCAAAGTCGCAGCAATATTAAATATACCAAAATGAATAAATAAAGTAAAATACACACGGCAGTACAAACAGTGTAGTTAAAATTGTTGCAGTTAAAGTCGGTTCAAGGCGAATTACGAATTTTAACGCAACGTTTTATTCATAATAATAAAAAAAAAATGTTTGTTCGTGCAGAAGGTGCAAGAACAGCTGCAAACAAATGTAAAGTGAACAAGTAAGAGGTTTTAGTCGGGAGCTCACGACTAGGAAATACCCTGAACCCTCTTATTTCAGCACCAAATATATTAAAAACAAGTGAGAGGTTCTAGTCGGGAGCTCCCGACTAGCGGATACCCTGAACCCTCTTCTTCCAACATCAAATGCATATATATATTTTATTTTAGAAGCTATATGTCAAGTTTGGTGACTCTAGCTCTTATTATTTACCAAAATTGACCAAAAAACACGATATCGATATCGAATTTTATCGATTGCTTGGAAACAGAGTAAGTTCTTGATACATACATTTGGATTTCGCACAAATACAATATACCCTTATACCCATTTTTAATGGGTTCAGGGTATAATAATGTGGTACGAATAGTGAAGTCGAAACCGTTGCAAATGAACTTGTATTTAGGGCGACTTACAATTTTAATCGCAATAAGATGTTTCAGAATAAAAGAAACTTTCCTCGTACAATCGGTTCGAAAACAGCTGCAATTGGATATGTTTCAGTGCGACTTACATAGCCAAAGGCGGCAAATCAAATCGCACCAGCAGGCAACACGTTACAAAAAGTTTGAAGAAGTTTCAGCCATGGCTATATCTCAGGGTGACTTATAAACGAAAGGCAGCAACACATTGTCAAACCCAGCGAACAAGTCACCTACTTGACAGAACAACAGAACACTCCAATGACATCAATATTAAGTTCGCCTCCTCCTCATCAAAAAGAGGCATTAAGGAACCAAATGGGCGCGATTTGAGCATTAAGGATATCGACGCGATCCGATTCCTACCATCATACGATGATAACCCTAAGAAACTGAGCAAGTTCCTTAATAATGTGGAAGAAATTCTTCTACTTAATAAAGGAACCGATCAGATCCCATATTAACAGAAAACTCTCATGCGCAATTAGAAACAAGATTGAGGGCAAAGTCAAAGAGGCTATTAGAAAAGCCGGAGATAATCTCAACTGGGACGAGATTAAAGATACACTTATTGTATATTGCGCAGATAAATGGTGGTTTGATTGGAATAGATATTCCACAACATTTAGAAGCAACCGTAAGCATACCACAACGATTTCTTCAAACAAAGAACTTCAACATCGGGATCAAACTGGTAGATAAAATAGTATAAAGACTACATACTATGGATGAAGAATCTAAGAAAGTAATACAACTACCCGGTAATATTGAAAACGGAACCTTCTGGTGCGAACCAACTTATTTATATCAAGAGGACTGTACTCTGCAAAGAATAACGTGAGCTACATGGAAATTAATTTACTTTCGAATGAGACTCATAACTTTTGTCTATAAGTCGAAATATATAGAAAACAAGACTTTTTGGAAGTTAACCCCATATTAGAACCCAATAATGAAACTACCTTCAAGGGACAAGATTTCAATTTATGTATACGTACTGCCCACTTAAATAGCGAAGAGAAACAAGAACTTTAAAAACTCTGCTTAAAATTTCAAAACCTATTTTATCAAGAAGGAAACCCTCTTACTTTCACTAACCTAGTGAAACCTAGAGTCAAGACAACGGACGAAATACTAATCTATACCAAACCATTTCGGCATAGTATAAAAGAACGACAGCTTATTAAAAAACAATTACAAAAACTGTTAAATACGAATATCATTAGACACAGCGCTCCAACCTTTTTGGTATCAAAAAAGATGGATGAGACTAGTAAAAGACTATGGGAAATTCAACGAGAAAACAGTTAAAGACCCGATGGCAAACATAAACGACATCTTAGACA